AAAAAAAAAAAAAAAAAAAAAAAAAAAAGATTTAAGAAGATGTTATGAATGTTATGTGACATTCTTGTACATTTCTGCATATACTTCCTAAGCTTTTTAGGATCAAGTGATATGATCATAGGGCAATATGATAAAAGTAGAAATCTTTTCATGTGATCTCATTAATGTTTAACTCTAAACTTGTAGCACTGGAGACTAAATCTCCAAATAAAGCTAAGGCATGTGGAAGTGCTTTGAAAGCTTCATAGACTGCTATTAAGGAAACGATCAAGAGACAAATGTGAGAGAGAAGGGCAGATACAGGCAGAAGAAGAGTGAAAAGGCAGGTAGAGAGCTTGCGCCCTTCCTTCCTGTTCTCTGGGTGCCTATGCAGAGGCCGCCTGCTGTGTCCCAGGCAGCTCAGTCAAAGGGAAGGGCATCATAAACAGAGAGATGAGACCCAAACAGAGGAAAGGAAACAAAAAGCTGAATGGAAAGAAAAGAGGTCTTGTTTGGCATATAATCCCCCTGGGAAAATGGGCGATGATTCATTTCTCTAAGCTTAGACTTTGTGTCTCTAAGCGAGCTGATTCTAGCTTAGTTCCTGGCTTCTAGGAGTCCTCATTCTGCTGCAGAGAGCAGCAGCCACCACAGGCTGCTGCATAGACATGGAGATTAATTCAGTTCAACTGAGAGAGCCTGAGTTACAGACACATAGGTGAGAAGAAAGAGTCGGGGAAGTTTGCCACCTACGCCATCATTATCCCGGTCACTAACATCATTGCTTGTTGAGGAAAACCAAGCAGAGCAGGAGGAAGCTGTCTTTTTCCACTTTCTACTGAATGTTTTGCAGATACAGATATGACTGCAAGTTCTTTTGCTTCTGGATGGTTACGTTTTGCTTCATGACTTGTCAGAGAAATCTCTTAAGGCCTGTGAGGTCAGAACACATTGTCGCCTCTCTACTTGGTCCTGATGGTTGGAAAAAGCTGCTTGAATTTCCAGAAGAGCCTAAATAGCAGAATTAATACAATTCTACTACTTTAATGTCAAATAATGGTGGTAAGTATTGCCAACGTAGGACCCATAGAGACTTGGAATTATCATGTTATCAAGAAACATTAATGAATGTCTATACATAAGAGATTAGAAGAAAAATCTACTACCTGGCCAGTTTTTATATAATAAGAATAATTTGCTTGTAATTAGTATGCTGACTGATAGAGTAAATTCTACTAAACAATTGTATACAATTTGTTCCTATATGAAGTCTGAAAATTCTCCCTCCTATTCCAGTAATTAAAATATTTAAATTTTTTTTTCTTAGGCCCTTTTGGAGATTTTCAGGGTTTGAAACTCCTCAGAACCTAAAATTTTAGGCTTTTTCCCTTTCTGCTATCAGCGATGCACTCATTGCTTCTGTTCTCTCCCTCCTAACAGGGCTTGTGGCTGGGTTTTGGTTTTACTCTAGTCCTTGTAATCTCCAGAGATGAACATGTAACTCCTCATCATTTGTTGGTTTTGATACAGATAATAACTGAAGTTGAAAGTGTGGGCAAATTATAAATTATTGGTGTTCAGATAGATATAAGATTTTTTAATAAAATCTTTTTTGAATGAATATAACTTCTAATACTCTATTTTTTCAAATGGCTCCCATGAGCTCTTTAATTAGGTTCCCTTTTACAGGCCACTAGTTCTGTGGATTCCTGGGGAGAGAGTCTTTCCTGGAATCTCTCTGCCCAACCTGTCCAGCGCTTCAGCATATCAAGAACAGCGGGGCCCAGTGGCTGCCAGAGCTGGTTGATTGGGACAGAAGAATCCCTCACTGTGATGTTACGCTCATTAAATCTGGGACATGAACTCCAGAGCTGGAGAGTTACAGAAGCATCATCTATTTTAGAATTTGGATATGGTGCTGTTTCTCCCAGGGACCTATGCATGGCACACTGGGATTGGGCTGGGATAGAGTGGTCACCACTCTACTGTACATGCCTCCTCCAGCTGCTCTCTTTGAATGCTAAGGCTTTGTTGCTCAGCCCTGTTGCTAGCTCCTTCCTCTGTTATAGGGAGCTGCCTCCTGGAGCCTCCTCAGCCTTCTCTGAGAGTGACATTTTGCCTAGTACCGGACCAGACTGCACACCCTCTGGCAGTAGTTTCCATATGAGCTTGTTCCCAGGAGGCGGCTCAGCCTGTAGGCAGCAGATTTGCATCAGGCCCCAAGAAGGGTGAGCCCCAGAGAGTGGAGAGAAAGCCAGACTGAAGCTGAGATCCCCTGCACAGCCGTGGCCTCTGCTTCCTGGTTTGGGAATAGTAATTGGAAGTCCTGCATGTTGGCCCTCTGCTCTCCACTTTATTTCTGAGCATAGGACTTGCCAAAGCTTCCCAAGCAAAATGGTATGAATTTCAAAATTATGAGTTTTGCCTCTCCACAAAGCCTACAGAGGCAACCACATGTTCCCAATGTCAGGAAGCCCTGAATTGCTGCCTCCTGTTGTAATGAGCCCTTTTAGCTGTTTAATGAGCACGGCCCCTTTAGCTATTACCTGACAAACCTCAGAGCACAATCATTACCGATTTCTGGTTATCCTTCTTCAAATTCAGAATTTATCGAGTCAAGTAAATGAGGTTTTCCTGATTTCACCTTTCACATCAAGATGGTATGTGCCACATTCTATGTGATTATTGTTGAGGATGGAGCAGCTTTCAACTTTTTTGAATATAAAAATACAATCTTGACTTCTCCTCTCTCAAAAATTTAGAAGATTTTTCTCCTATGCAAGAAAAGCCCAACTTCAGATGTCATAAATGTGCTAGACAAAGATAAGAGCCAAATTTGAGATAAGTAAAACATTTACTCTGACAGCTGTTAGGTCTGCACTAGATTTAGAGTCTAGAGCTATCAGTCAGTTGTCACTGAAATGCACCGCTTTATCTCTGTTTCCCGGAGTCTCTGCTATTTGTTACCATGATTTTTCCAGCTCCCTTTCCTCTAAATCACCCATTGTGTTGCAAAATCCCACCCCCATCTTGATTTCATCTTTCTGTTTCCTTGGGGGTCCCAGAGACCCGGGAGAGTCCATAAAGTTGACTATAACTTGAAAGCCACTTTCGTGTCCTGCCTGAAGTGAGCTGATTTATGACTCAGTGTTTAGTAAGCACTCAGAAAGCCTCCTATGAAATGTGAGATCCAAGTGCGCTGTGCTATTGCTTCACTTTATTTGACTTTTGTAAAGTGCCCAGTACCATGACAATATTCCCTAAGTAAATAATAAATGCAACAAAACACACTTCCTTCTCTATTTTAATAATGTACTATTCATGCAGGTTTTTTTTTTTCTGGAACAAAGAATCATTGTAGGAAGTTGCTCTGCCAATATTAGGTTGATATCTTATTGCAAGCAGAATAAATAGATAAAATGGCATGCTACAGGAAAACTGATAACGTTCCTTTTGAAAACAAAGCAAGCAAGGCAGTAACACAGAATATGAAAAGCCAAGAGACAGTTTACTGGAATTAATACAAGTATGAATGCATGTTCCTTGATATTATGGTACTTTCCCTGGTTATAAAATAATACTGAGATATCTAGAGGAAAATTCAAATTATAATTTCCTCAATTCCATGTTGTTTTTATAAATCTATTGTTCTTCTCTGGTGTGATCCTGTTTTTAAGCAAGTCTGATAGAGATGTTTAACAGAGAGTAGAACCGTTGCCAATCATTTCTAGTGGGAATTGAGCTACCAAATATTTTCCTCAAATTGTAGAAAATTACCATTTGTAGAATCCACATTATATTTAGCTTCTTAATTTAGGATTAAACATCTGTAATTTATTGTTAGGACATCCGGAGAGCTTGCAAAACTCTATAATATGAATATTGTCTCTCTCTTTTTAGTCCCATATTGTCTCTCTTTTTAGTTCCATATTGTCTTCTGTAAAGATTTGTTGCTGGTCAAAAGAACCACTATATAATTTTAGAGTGGAAACCCTGAGGTCTTCCACAAGGCAGTGTTGACATGTTTTTATCCAAATGTGCCACTAGTTGACCAGGGATGTGATAGTGGTTACCATTCAGCTGCCTCCCATACTCCAGCTGGGGTCCAGTGGAACAGAAAAAGGACAACTTCCAGTCTTACTTCTCTGGCTTTAGCTGAAGACAGAGACACTTAATGACACAAGCCTTGGAAGCATTTAGGAATGGCCATAATTCTCTTCTGGATTTCCCTACTAACTCTTAGGCAGCATAGAGGATGACTTGGTTTTAAAACATAAAAGTGCATAAGCACTCTTTTAATGACTAAGATAGCTGAAGGGTTTAGGATTTCTGATGGATCAAGGGAAATGTAAATGAATTTGAACCTTTCATTTATAATCTTTTCAGGTTAGTTTCAATTCTGTTTCTTGAAATAAGGTCATAAAAGGCTTCCAGAAAAAGCCGCACCTTGAAGGACGACAAGGGTGCTATTGGAATGAAGTTCAGGTGGGGATGTCCTGGAGAGTACTGTGGGCAAAGCAAAGAAGCGGCAAAGTTTTGGGGGTGCTTAAATATTGGTCAGAGCTCCCCAGTAGCTCTAGCAGTACAGATGTAGCTAGAAAAGCTCTGCCAAATCCTACTCACAGTTTGCTGGCATTGATGTCATTTCCACTGCGAGGCTGCATTTGTCTTGCAACACTGGACAAGTGCCTTTTGTCTAGGCTTCTGGAACCCTCTGCCCTTGTTGCAATGCATTCGATATAGTTTTTAGCCCAACTTATGTGTTTGCCTATTTTTATTTGTTGTCCTCTTTCCGTTTCAAGCTTGATAAAGAAGGGGCCTTGTCTTGACTGTTTTCATTTTCTCATGATCAGAGCTCCTGGACAGTGGTGCTCAGTAAATATTTTTTGAACTGAATGAATAATACGAATATTTTCCTTAAGTAATGCCTTCTGACTATTTTACATTTTTCAAAGGCCTTAGACTAGTCCAGATAATTGTCCTAAGGTTATAAAGTAACAAATTTTCAATAAATGTAGATATACATTATAATTAAACTACTAAGAATGAACTTATATGTGTCTATTACAGAGGGAACAGAATACAATATCAAATGAATAAACTTTGGATCCACCTCAAAGATATTAAATTGCTAAAAGGAGTTCCATCTATAAGCTGACTTGCCAGCATGAGCAACCATCTGAACAGCAACGTAAGCATGGGCAATCCCTTTTACTCTGCTACCGATACTCTATTGAGAGAACCCTGACCTTCGAACCAGGAAACATGGGATCTAGCTCTAAAAGTTGATTTGTGAACCTGGAAAAGTTATGTAAAGTCTCTGATCTTCATATTCAACCATAGTACCAGTTCTGCTTGCTTTGCAGATTTGTGAAGATAGATATGTTAATGTAGAAATGAGACAATACAATACAAAAGATTCTCCCTTTATCATAATGATCTGTGAAGTGAGCTGATCTCTTGAATCCTACAGTGTTGGTTTACCAGTTGAAGAGCAGATTCTAGGCTTTAGGACTTTTGATTTCTTATTGGATCCATTGACTATACCCTCCTTACTCCTTCTAATCTCCCAGGGAAAAGAATACAAATCTTAGGCAAAGCAATGTAGGACTGTAAAAGTTTGTCCTTGACAGGACATTTTATAACCTCTGTTATTAACACCAAATCCCAGAGTCAGACTCAGCTTCCAGGTAATTTTTGTGTACAGTGTATTGAAAGTTGCATGGAAACCTCCAGTGACAGATTCTGGCCCCAGTTATGGCGAGTGCTGGCAGGACAGATGCACACTGCTCTCCAGCACATTTCTCCATTCTCTCTCCTTCCAGGCTGTCAGGGGATGGCTCTTGCCAACATGCTGAAAGACCTGGCCAGGTTTCCTTCAGTGCTGCTCACTGTAGGTTAGAGGAGGATGGGCGTGGTCACCAACTCTATTTCTACATTAACTATTCTGACAAAAATCTAAACCTGATAGGGATTTGTCACTCCCTGGTGGCTCTTTGTCTTGGTTCATGACAGGTTTATTATCTTTGATCTACCAAACCCAGCAAGAAGAGGATGGTATTTGATTTCATAGACCAGGTACAATTGACTTTAATTATCTTCTTGAAATCGGTCCCACACTCACAGATGATAGACTGACATCCCAAATCACTCTGTAGTTTGGACAGTTTTTAAAACCACAATGTGCACATATAGCATAGCTATGCGGTATTTGTCAAGAAAATGCTATATTTCTGCTGAGTTGTGATTTTCTGATATGTTCCATTTTAAGTTAGTTGTTTATGTGTGGTAGACTTATAATTCCGACAGGGAAATAGCTATAAAATGTAAAACGTAGAACTAGCCAAGACTGGAATACATACCTATCATTTCTCTATTTGCTCTGCTAAAACTGGTCACATGTAAATCCTCTTCTTTGCACAGTGGCCAGCGATAAGAAGGCTGGAAGAACAATGTCAAGGGTGAATCTGTCATGCCCTACTGACTGGTCTGGAGAGTCAAAAAGGTCTTCACAGTTTCAAATATTTGTCCCTAAAATTCTGCTAGGTTGTTTGCATCCTGTCTGATGTATCATCCAGTTTATGAAACAGTCAGTCAGTTGCAGAATTAGAGCTTGATTAAAAAAAACCATAGTGCCATGTCCACATGCACCCACTCCTGCACACATGCATGTGTGTGCCTACCACATGGTCCTTGACAGGCACATGCAGCATTATGGAGTCCAAATTTGATGAGCTTCCATGGCAGAGCAGTCACTTTTCACCCTCTTTGTACTTTTTTGAGAACCTGAGGAAAACTATGGACCTTCTCCTTTGGGAGAGGATTCATGAACTGCCTATGGACCCAGCATTAAGAACTTGTACGTGGAAGCACAGATAACTAAATATGCAACCACGGTAGAGAATTATATTCTCTTGCTGTGCCATTTTCCAAGTGCAGTGAGTTCCTAGGGGAGGAAGCCCCACTTTTTCAACCAGGAGAAAGACCCCACTGCCTTACCCACAGTTCGGCATATGTTTTGACTATTGTCTGTTAAAAATATAATGGACTCTCGCTGTCTTATCAGGGCTTTTTATGTAGAGATGGGATATGGCAGTGAAGTGAGCAGCCTTACTAGTGAGAGTGCTGGATTTAGGATTAGGGGTTCAGGTTTTACTAGTTCTTGGTTCACCACTTTCTAGTTGTGTACAGTGGTCACATTACTCAACCTCTTCAGCTTCCGGGTCTTAATCTGAACTATTAAAATAGTGATTCTTCTGTTCACTTCATAGCTAGGAAGGGGAACTTATGGTGGTAGGATATGGGGGTAGGGGAAAGTGCTTCATAAGCCGTAAAGTTCTATCACCACACTCACAGTCATGGGTACTGTATTTGAGAAGATGACAATGTGTGATTAAAATGGAGGCATCCAGTTGTGTCCGGGCATCTGGTGGCTCCTGGGAGTGGGAGAGTGAGCCTGGGCAACTGCACAGAACTAAACTTATACATCTCCATGGGTCAAGGGCCACACTGGCAGAAGTTGAATTCCTGGAGCTGTGTCTTGAGCCCAACTCTGCCAAGTGCCTCTGGGGAAAGACTTTCTACTTAACATCTCATATTCTTTATCAGGAAAACCAGCCAACAATATGTCATTTGCCTTCCTTGCTGGGTTACTGTGAATCTCCAAGTAAAAGCCCCTGTCTGCTGTGAAGAGTCAGCCATTTACAGTATTGGTATTGTTATTATTATTATTATATAAATGTACATGTTTATTAATGAAATGAGCAAAAGGGAGAAAAAGGCATCATATTACATGTTCATGGATTGATTGCCTGATTTGCTTCTTAGTTAAGCACATGGCAGAGGGCTTGGCTGTCTGGTTCTTGCTGTGAAAGATACATCTAGAAGTTACTGATCAAAATATATCCAGGAGCTCCACTTTGGCTGTGCAACGGAAACTTCCACTGGTGATTTTCACATTTTATATTTAGCAAAGGGAACATTTTTCAAAACCATGTTTGCTTTTCAAGAAGCTATCAATTATATTCTAGCTTCTGCAAGAACAGACACCCATATGCTCTCTTTCAATTCTTTCTTGCCTTCCCCCTTCTCAGCTCTCTCTCCTCACCTCCTCTTCTCCCTGCCTATTCGCTTCATATTTGCAGTCCAGAAGTAGCAGCTGCCCACGCACATGGATCCCAGTGGGTCAAGGAGTGAGCGTATCCATAGGAACCTGAAAAGAACTAGGCAGTCTCTGCTTTCCAGCCCACATGTTTGTGGTGTGGCCAGACTGGCTAATGAAGGAGTTTTCTTCCAGTTGTGACCCTTATGGATAGACAAAGCAGAAACTACCGGCTTTGATCCAGACACTGGAATGTAAAAAGTGCTTGGGGGCAGTTATAACTCATTTCCTTCTAATTGGATTCTGGAATTTTGCTTCTTGCACCAAGTTGAAAACTCTAAGCTCTCAGTCAGGCAGGACACCACCCTCAGAACCAAAGCTCCAATACATGGGAGACATTTAAGATCCAAACTATAGCACTCACATCACTGTCTTCCTGTCTCGTCCATCAGGTTAGCCATATTGCTGATTCCCCAAGGCACTCTACCCAACCTGGACCTGGGGCTCTAACCAGTCTTGTGTTCCACCAAATTCTCTTCAGCCTGAGCTTGGAGCTTATTCTTGATTCAACAAAGAATCATGTATCAGATATCAGATACTTCAATAAGTACTAGAAGAAAATCCAAATAAATAAGATAAAAGTGCTACTTCTAAAGAAGTTAATGGTCTAGTGGAAAAGATAAAGATATACACAGCAAATTCCATAGGTGCCATTTAAGGATCAAGCACTGTGGGAACCATGGGTGAGAGTAATGAGTTCTGCCTAGGTGCATGGGAGGCAGAAAATAGGTGACTTGACTTGGGTTGTGCAAGATGACCCAGATTCTACCACATAGAGGAGACATAAATTGGCCAAAAGGAATGCAGAGAGACAGGAGAGGTTCAAGAAAGTGTGAGTGGGGTGTCTAATAATGCTGGAGCCCAGGACTTGGTGGATATGAGTAGGGGCAGAGGATTGGGAAGATATTGGAAGGGGCAGTCTTAAGGGCACTTAGAGATGCTAAGAAGATTGGGATAAAAAAAGACCTAAGGCAGGTATTTAAAAAATACTTTTTATTAAGAAAAACTCTAAACTTGCAGAAAGTCCATCATGAATGTTTGTGCTGGTGAGTGATAGCACCAAATATATGTTTTAGACAGATGCTCTGTTCTGACATGGAAAGGGGTGGATGATGGGGATGGGGAGCCATGGAAGACAGGGAAGCCTGTAGACAGCTGTGGGAAGCTGTAAGCCAGAAGCCATGCAGATACCAAAGTAGGATGGGGCAGGAGGAAGAGCAGCCTGGTGGGGAATCGACCTATCAGGACCTCAGTGTAGGCTACATAGAATGGTTTGGGGAGTCAGCAATGTTGGAAGCTGGTGGAGGAGATGAGGAGATGGATACACACAGTACTCTGGATCCTGCCTGTCCTCCGAGGTCTATGTGTTGAGGGCTTGGTTCTCAGGATGGTCCTATTGAGAGGTAGTAGAAGGTCTTTAGGTCACTGATGGTTTGCCCTTGAAGGGGAATGTGGGACCTTGGCCTCATTCCTAATTCTCTTATTTTTTCTGATGATAAAATAAGGAGTTTTCCTCTACCACACATTTATGCCATTACTTGCTGGCCCAAAGCAATGGGATCTATTCAGCATGGATCAAAATCTCCAAAATCTTTAGCCAAAAAAAATCCTTTTTTTAATAAGTTGATTAGGCCAGATGTTTCATTGTAAAGGTGGAGAGTTGACCAGCACAGTGGGTAATTGGTCTGTGGTCCCAGGAGGAGAGGGCCGGGAGCGTATCTTACCCCACCTTGCACTCAACACAATGCTCTCAGGCAGTACTGAGCTGAAGGGCTCTGAGCGGGGCAGGGCCGGGGGCTGAGTCCAGCAGGCCCCTGTCCTGGGACTAACCTTTAAGGTATCTGACAGCAGCTCTTTAGCCCTTGCTTAGTTTTCTTATCTCCAGAATAAAACCATTTCAATTCCTGTAATCTTCCTTCAAGGACCTTTAGTAACTTAGGTTGATCTCCTGTTTTCCCACTTCCCTCCTAAAATGCAAAGCCTCAGGCTAAAAACAGTCTTGAATCTTTCTCAAGTAACACATATAATTA